AACCTTCCATATCGGGATGATGCTCTAACCAGCTGAGCTACCCTGCCAGGGCTGGGCCAATCCTTTAAAACAGCAAGTCCCTTGGGGACTTAAATCCACTACAGATCTGGTTGTCTGGGACTAACTGCACCGATTGAGGAGATGATTAGACTCTTGAGGCTGAGCGACAAGGGACTACTGATGGGAGAACTGGACAGACATCCCCCTTAGCACGTTTGCTTGGAGAGGTCACCTTGGATGTTACCTTTGGCAGCATTTGAGAGAAGAGATTCTCCCACCCAGACTTCTTTTGGCTTAATTTTCCATTAAATGCTTAACTGAGCAACATTCCTGTTTTTAAACAGTATACATATCTGTCTAAAAATATTCTGAGAATGTTTGTTTTCACTTGAACATTCAGATTGCTAATGTAGATAAGAGACTAGAGTTGAAGCAGATGCTTGTAGAGGAAGTTATAGGAGAAGAATCTGTAAACACCTGAGGGTCCTGCCAGGGCACATCTTGGGCTGGTGAGAGAAGTAGAGTTGGTTCCGAGATCAAGGAACAGAAGTGACAGCAAAAATTGAACCAAATATTGAAAAACTTGTTCAAAAGGTGAAGCTCCTGTTCACAGTACAAGTTTGGGAGATAGAACTTATGAAACCTCTCAATACTTCCTGCAATAATTCAAAACACTCTAAGGTCCCTCTTCCTGAAATGCAAGAAGTTGGTGGCATTTGAAAATCGAAGAATAACTTGTAACCTTCAGTCCTGTGAATCCCACCCTTGGAGGGCTTTCACATCAGAGGAAGGAGAGAGAGTTAGGGAGCTCGTTCTAACCCTCCTTCATGTTCTGACCTCTTATAGACAAGCCTTGGTAGGAGAGTCAGAAAGAAGTGTCTGGCAATTTTAAAGAGCATTGCACCCTGTTGAGAATCATTGCTGAGGCCCTGGCTGGTTTGGCTCAGCGGTTAAAGCGTTGGCCTGTGGTCCAGAGAAATCCGGGTTTGGTTCCCGCTAAGGGCATGTACCTCGGTTGCAGTTTGTCCCTGGCCCTGGTTGGGTTGTGCAGGTGGCAACTACTCGATGTGTCCCTTTCACGTCGATGTTTCTCTCTCTCTCTCTTTCCCTCCCAATCTACCTGAACAAAAAAATGGAAAAATGTCCTCCAATGAGGATAAAAAAAAGAATCATTGCCGAGGGAAAGAAGAGGCAATTCCATGTGGTGCTTGCACATTTCAGTCCTGTCCCTCCCAGCTAGATTTCTGTAAACTCACATGTGTTGCTTCTTTTTATTAACTCTTTTTGATGTCATGTCTATACTTCAGTGAATATTTACCTATGTTTTCTTTTACCCTCTTAAGGTTTCAATTTTTACATCTATATCTTTTGTTTATTTTGGTGTGAGGTAGGGATCTAGCTTTTTTTTTCTTTCCTTTCAGTTAGTTAGCAGTTAGCAAATTGTCCCAACATCATGTATCGGATATCTAATCTTTCCCTTCTGATTCGATCACCCACCTTCAAAAGCCTACTTTCAAACTACCAGTACTCCCAGGTGCCACACCTGGTCAGACCTCAGCCACTGTGAATATTGGCTTTCTACATTCTTGGCAAGTCCCCATCTTGGCCTCCAACACGGTGGTCCTCTGTCTGCCAGGGGCTCGGTGTCTGCAGCATTGCCATCTTTTTTCTGTGCAGCAGATTTGTAGTTATTTAAGCACTTTGTGTTATTTTGCTCATATTTAATAACAGTTAGTGGAAAGGGGAGAAAATCAAGGTGTTGGTACTTGCAACACGAAGCAGGCTTTCTAAATACAATGCAACATAGAAATCATTTAGGTCTCAAAAAAGTGACAAGCCTTTCTCTTCAGCCAGATGCTTATTGGACTTGAGCTGGTCACTGAGGGTATAACTGGGAAGGAAAAAAGCCAAATTAAAGAACAAGACATGGCTTGGAAATAAGTTATTTAAGATTATCTAAGAAGGAGAGAGAATCCCTGGTCGGAAACGGTGTTGTAAAAATTGTAAAGATGATTAAAACCTTCCCCAAGCAGAACTGGGCTGAGGACATACCTGTTCTGGTGCCTCAACTGCACATACTTCTCTTCTGTGCTCCTGTTATTTACCTCTATGTGCAGCGTGTCCAAAGTGAACCTGTGGCCAAACCCCATCCTGACACCTAAAACAATACCCAAAAGGGAGAAAAAAACACTCAGTTATTTTTTAGCCTAGGTCCACAAGTCAACGCTCATAATGTAAACCATCACCAAGTCCTATTGACTTTAGCTGCTGAAGGACCTCCTTAAATCATCACCACCACCACCCTGGGTCCAGGAGACCTCCATGTGCCAGACCATGCTGCAGTCTCTCCACATGCACTCTTGCCTTCTGTCCAGTTCATTCTCCATGTTGCAGCCAGAATAATCTTTTAAAAATTAAATCTGATCAGGGCAGCATCCCTCTGATTAAACCCTTCAGCATCAGCCCATTGTTCTCATGGTGGCCATGGTCTTCAATATGGCCCAGTACAACTTTCATCATGATTTCCTCACACCCACCTACCTCCAGATTCCTCTCCTCATTCTATTCCTTCCCACCTGGGAATGCCTGGAATGCCCCATCCAGTCCCAGAGTTAACTACCCCATCCTCAGATGGCAGGTGAGCCTTTCTGTCCCCATCTGTGCTCTCATGATGCTGTGTAGAGTTTCTGGTCATACAATGAGTTTATTTGATTAGTGTCTATTTCCCTCACTGGACCATAAGCCCCATATGTGCCAGGACTACATCCATTTTTACTCATTATATTCTTAGTGACTGTCACAAAGGAGGTTCTCAGTCAGTATTTGTTGAAAGTGGTTCTTGTTTGCCATGTTGGCAACCTAACCTGGCAAACAAGATTTCCTCAAGAATTCTTTATATTTTAGGATAGATACTATTGGTCCAAATATTGTTTTTATTTATAGATTTAATGTGCCTATAATATTAATAAAATGCTTTTTTAGTGAAATATTGTCTTCTGCCTGTAGAGTGGTCTTTTCATTTGTCTTACTTGGGATCTGACTCTCCAGAATTGCATTACAAATCTTAGAAAGCGATCAGATCTGTCTATACACTTTCTGTTTCATTGTATGCCCGCAGTGTTGCAGACAGAGATGGTGCTCAGTCTTTGTTTATTTTGTTTATTATATATTATTTTAATTTGAAAAGCACATAACCACACTATAGTTCTTGGAGGATATGAAAAAATCATCTATAACACTACTACTCAAACTCAAACACTGTTATAATTTTAGTATGTTACCTGTTGGTCTTTTTATATGCATTGTTAACATTGCCATATCACAATAGACATAAAATTTTGTGTCCTGCTTTTACTCCCCTATGTAACCTTAATATTGATCGATTATTATATTTATATGAGCCTAATTTATTCAATTCAGCAAGCATTTATAAAGAACCACACTGCATCAGGCACTTTTCTAAGCATCTAATACCATCACAGGAAATATACAGATGTCATATAATAATAGAATACCATAATTCCAAAGCTCTTAGTGACATTTTTACTTCACAGATATATTAATTTTGTGACATCTCTTCCTTGTCTCAGAATGAGGAATATGTAAGACTTTTAACAGCTTTCTTTATTTATTCAACAAATTTATTAGGGCTTACCACATGCCAGGCACTATTCTATGTACTGGAGATACAGTAGTGAATCCAACAAAGTGTCTGCATCCTAGTGAGAGAAGACAGACAATGAATGAATGAATGAATGAATGAATGAACGAACGAATGCATAAATGAGGTGATAAATAGAGAAGGAATTAGGTGAGAGGGATGAATAATGGTATGGGGAAGGGGAGGCTCTTTCACAAGGTCAGGGAAGGTTCCCTAAGGGTGAATTTTGAGCAGAGACCTACATGGAGTAGAAAGTGAGCTGTGCAACTGTCAGGGAGATTTTTCCTGGCAGAGGATCAGCAGGTACAAAGGCCCTGAGGTGAGTTTTTGATGTTTACAAGGAAAAGCAAGGAGCCAGTGAGGGAAGGGGGTGAACAGGAGCTGAGGTCAGTGAGCTGAAGGGAGCTCTGAGGAGATTTTGGAGGTCTTCGGGCCATGGTAAGGCCTCTGCCTTTTCTTCCAAGTGAGACGAAAGTAGTGGAACAATGACAAGACCTGACTTGTGCCTTAATAGGATAGCTTTATTCACCAGCTTTCTCGGTTCCTTCCGGGAGACCCGTCAGCTCCAGCCTTTGTCATGTCTGGATGAGTCACTTTGTACCAGAACCTGTAAACTTCCTCTCAGACACCCATGAGGTAGTCATAATGCAAAGTGCTCGCTCCTTATGCGTGCAGGCAGATCATCTGCCAAACCCGGAGATGTCTCAGATCCAGCTTTGGTAAATCATTGCTTCAAGAAAACTGGCACATTTCATGTATTTGAAAACTTTATAACTCTGAATTTCTCATTTCTTTAAAAAATTTTATTGATTGATTGATTTTAGAGAGAGAGAGAGGAAGGAAGATGAAGAAAGAGAGAAAGATTGATTTGCTAGTCCACCCACGTATGTATTCATTGGTTGTTTCTTGTATGTGCCCTGAGTGGGGATAGAACCCACAACCTTGGCATATTGGGACCATGCTCTAACCAACTGAGCTACCTGGCCAGGGCTGATGAATTTCTCGTTTCTTTATCTTTTGTTCATTTGAAATAATTTTTCCTTTCTGAAAATAATGACCAAATATGTTTTTCAGATTGTATAAGAACATATCCCATTAAGGCTTTCTATCAGTTTTGTAATTATAAAGCATGCTTCAACCTCTGACATTCTAGAAATCAGCTTTTTGAGGGAGTGGTCAGTTAACCTAATTATAATCTCCCTTGAGTTGCTCTATGGTTAGAACTATCACATGGCAAAGTTAGATCCCATTAGTAGGCTTAAAACATTTATTTCTGAAAGAATAAACTCTTACAGGTTGCTTAGGGTAATTGATTTATTTTGTTTTCTTTCTGTTATAGGAGGAAACATCACAGCTTTCCCAGATTGGGAGGAAAAATATGGAATGTGTTTTACCGCTGACTGAACACAACCAAATGAACTGTACTGACAGTAGTTTGAAAACCAGCAGTTAGCAGTTTGTTCAGCCTCTAACATTGTCCAGCACTTTCCAGAGCAAACTCACTGTTTACAAGAACTCTCGGCCTTACAACGTTTATAACCTCAAGCTTCGTTTATTTAAAATATTTCTGCTAAAGAAAAATACCCACAGTCCACTTTTCAAAATGGCCATGGATGATTATTTGTGGATGGTCATTTTAGGTTTTATCATAGCTTTTATTTTGGCATTTTCTGTTGGTGCAAATGATGTTGCCAATTCATTCGGTACTGCTGTGGGCTCTGGCGTGGTGACCTTGAGGCAGGCGTGCATTTTGGCTTCAATATTTGAAACCACAGGCTCAGTGTTATTGGGAGCCAAAGTAGGAGAGACCATTCGTAAAGGTATCATTGATGTGAACCTATACAACGAGACGGTAGAAACACTTATGGCTGGGGAAGTCAGTGCAATGGTTGGTAAGTAGCATTATTCTTTATACCTGTGGGAACCTTGCTGACCTTCTTCCCTGTCGTTCTTTTGTCATATTCATAAGTGTGACTTTTGCTTTAACTTTGCAAAACCTGGTTTGATGTTTTATATTTGCTAGATATTATCTTTGCTTCCTGCATTTTAATTTGATTGTTTTTTCTAATATCAAGCAAACACATTTTCCCCAATTTTTAGCAAACTTGGTGGTTAAAATAGATTTCAACTGAGTACTTTTTATAAAATACAGAAAAAGTATTTTTAGGGCAGCTCTTTGTCATTTTAAAGTTGTTTGGAAGTTATTAGAGAACTAGCATATCTGAGAAAATGTGTTTGAAGGATTTACTTAAGAGATTTCCTGTAAGGTTTAGTCCTGTTTTTCATAGACTTTCTTTCTTTCTTTCTTTCTTTCTTTCTTTCTTTCTTTCTTTCTTTCTTTCTTTCTTTCTTTCTTTCTTTCTTTCTTTTATCAATTAGGACACAATGTTTTGAAAACTTGGATGCCAATAAAACAATATTTATTCATTTAACTTGTATGCTCAGTTTAAGTTCTAGAGCAATTACCAAATAAATCTTAAGTGTTTGTGTTTCAAGAAATTCTGGTCTTCTACATCATTTGCAATCCTTTTGTTGGCTTTTGTTTTGATTTTATGATTCTACCTCTGGGAGCTCCATTGGGTATTTTTGTTTTGTTTTCTGGTCAAAAGGTCATTTGTATGTCACCTGTTGGTGGTTTCAGGTTGTCTAGATGACAGAAGTGTTGAAAGCAGTGAAGTATGTTAATAAGAGATTGAGTGGACGGTCAGTGGGATTTCTCCATTGCCCGAGGTGACTGCGCACGGCAAGCGCTGAGGGGGCGCTGCCCGCGCTGCCGCCGAAGAGAAGATGCAGGCAGAGATGCCTGAAGTGCAGCTGACAGGACTCTTTCTCTGCTTGCCTCTAGGTAGAGATGCCGTCACAGCACACAGCTGATCAATACGGGTAATTTGGTTAGGGAGAAGAGGGTTAGAGAGGAATTCTACCACCTTCTGCTTTCAACAGGACATATCCTTCTGTAGGAGGAGTCCTGCAGTAGGAGGTAAGATGCTGGTGTACCAAGAACACAGCTACGTGACGCAGGTTCCTAGTTATTCATTGTCACTGGCATTATCTGAGCACCCAGGATGTGGAAATTATTTGCCCAATTGAAGATGATCCATCATCTTTTTATTACAGCAAGTTAGTCTGAGACATTGTTGAGGCACTTGAGCTGAAGCAGACCAGTGTACTAAGGTATTAAAGACTGCGAAGCGCAGTGGGCTGGTGACTACGCTAAGGACTTCCACCGTCTCCGCTGCATATTTCGTGTTTGAAAGATTAAGGTTCACGATTGCTTTGATTCCAACAGCTATTGTAGTGACTGGATTTTACTTAACTTCGGTGAACATATGTTTTTTATTACAGTCAGATATAATTGAAATTTCTCATAGAAAAATGACAGTTGCTTATAAAATTCACCTTTGTACAGCTGTGATAGATGTCTAAGACACAATTATATTGACCTGATATTAAGATTTTTTTCAGTCAGGATGATGTGGGAGAGACATGTTGAAGGTAGTGGAGAAATAAAGAAAAACAGTGATAACATGAAATCTTAACAGAAGTTTCTCCTTTTGCTGGGTGAAACCTGAGGAACGATGGTGCCCACTGAAGAGCCTGTCAGTGAGGCCGCCCTGAGGCCTCAGATGGACAGGGGTGAGCTGGGCTCCTGTGTGAGCAGTGGTGTCCCAGCGCTGCCTTTGGCTTGTCACTAAAAGAATGACAAATACTTACTTCAACTAGAATTTAGGTTAACCAGAGCAATTTGGGGTTTTGCTTGAGTAACTTGATTTTGTTTGCCTTGATTTCTTCTTTCTTTCTTTCTTTCTTTCTTTCTTTCTTTCTTTCTTTCTTTCTTTCTTTCTTTCTTTTCCTTCTCCTCCTTTATTGTGTGTGTCTTTAGATGAATTTCAAAGCCTATTTTATTGGGAATTTATATGGTTTACCTAGATTTTCAAAATTGGGTTCCTTGCCAGTGGGAGCTATGTAAATCTAAGATGGTGGTGTAATTATCATTGGCCAGAATCAAAGCTGATTCTGTTTAGATGCCTGAATTCTCCAAATCTTCCTCTTCTAAATTCTACATCCATATCTTCTCTCCCTCTCTTCCCCTGTCCTTCTACTCTATTCCATTTTATTTTACTCTTTCTTTTTAGAAAATTCTCCCCAAGCCCATGAGTCTCTGTGCTTTCGGATAGAGCTGTGGGTGGCATTGGTTGGTTGGTTGGCTGGTAGGAATCGTTCATGCCAGCTAAACTTCTTGAACAAGTTATCTTTTGGGACTCCAGCTCAGCCCTAAAGTGCCGGTCAGTCCACTCAGTATAAAACCACCAATGGTTCCAAAAATGTACTGGGGCTTCAAAACTCACTATCTTCCGGTGGAAATACCCACAATAGCGTGAAGAAGCCATCTCCTTGAACCACACTAAGAAGTGTACAGACCCTTAAAGCTGCCTCTCTGCCCATAACTGCTGAGCCTTCCCCCGCCCCACACGCGCCCTTGCCAGCCTGTCTGCCTTGGTGGGCACCCTGAACCTTTGCTCTGCCCTTTCATCTTCCCAGGAACCAGCCGCCTCAGAGATGCCCATCTGCCCCACCCTGCAGTGTCCCTAGGTGTTGTCTGTGCCCTTATCCTGCACTTACCCCTTTCCTTTTTGTAGACCATCGTTATTTTAGGTTAAAATATAATTCTTTATCCCACTGTTTTTCTTAACATAAATGTAATCCCATTTGCCTTCGGAAATTCCTTGGGTTAAGGAGGCCTCTCACCCACTCTTACTTTGCTAGGTCCCCTGCAAACACCTGTCTTCTTTCCCCTCCTTTCAGCTGCTCCTCCACTGCTCCCCACTGGCCCTATTTCCTTCTTCCCTGTCTCAGGCAGCCTCTCTCCCTACCTTTCCTTACAAACCCCTGCTCCAGGACATACGATATAAAGTCAGCCAGAGAAAGAATAGCAGCTTTCAGGAAGGAAAAAATCTCATGGTCTCAATCATGTGGGTGAGTTTATACCATTCTCTTAACATCACTAGATTATTTTAATTTCTGTAAGAATAGAAATCATAAAGTAAAAAAAAACAAAACATAAAATTTGTTTTTAAGTTATGGTTCTGTGCATGAAACATGCTCTAAACTCTGGCTTCATTTTGAAAACAACCATGTAGTCCCTGCAGAACCCAGGGCTTAGATGTGAAGGCTTAAAGATTGTCCACTGGGTGCTGCCACAGAGCCCTTGTCACCGGGTTGGCAGCACAGGACTGGCCCCTTCTCCTTCCAGCACACGCTTCAGGGACAGACATGGGGTCACAGCCCACTGCAGCTCCAAGGTCAGCGTTGTTTCACAAACTGGGGCCTGCACAGCCTTTAATGGTCCTCTGTAACTCAGGTATTTTTTTAAGAAAATGCCAAGGGTCTGCTTGAAAGTGCTACTGCTGCCAAGCAACCAGATTTCCCGAATTAACATTTGGGATTAATAACAGGCCCTGCTTATCAGCCAAACCCTTTGTTCCCTTACAGCTCTCTATGAACTTTCCAACAACTGTGTCTGAAAGTGATCTCTCCCAGCTGATGCTTTTAATACTCACTGCAAAATCTGATCTGCTTATGAAAATAATCTGAAGTGAACTATAGCCTAGAAAAACATTAAGCCCGGAAAAGAGTGGTGAAATTGAGGTAAAAGGACACAGAGCCACAACGAAGGGATCCTCTTAACTCCTAAGAAGTAGAAGGCTTGAGAGAGCATGTAAGGAACACTCCATCGTTCCTGGCAGGGGTGGAGAGCAGGTGCCCAGCTTTGGGTTGGATATCATCGTTCCTTCTCACATGAGAGGCAAAAATCAAAAAGCACCATGGTGTTACACTCTATCGTGTGCAGACTAAGATGCCATAGCCGATATTGCACCCTCCTTGTTACATAACTACAAGCATCACTATAATGAATTCTTTTCCAGTGGGCAGCCTTTCTTGTTTCTCTGTGTTTATTTGAGTCCTTAATCTCTTGCCTGGTCTTGGCCACACTTCACATCAGAACAAGTTCATTATCAGCTCCCTTACCTACATGTGACAAGGCAGTTAATAACTGGCATCAAGAGACTTTTCTTTAAATAGTTCTAAATACTTTTCTTTAAATAAATCATCATTATCCCTTCAGTGTTGAAGACTTTTTTTGGGCCCAAGTTAACTGAGTAATTTTGTCAGGACATTAGCACTTTGTAAAGAAACCACCCACAGAAAATTAACCCCACAGAGTTGTTACTGAGAACAATAATTTGTATTTCTTCCTTTTGTGGCCGTTTGAGATGCTGTAATCTATACCTGACTTTTTTTTTTTTTTTTATCTTCCCATCTCTAGGTTCAGCTGTTTGGCAGCTGATTGCATCGTTTCTGAGACTTCCGATCTCAGGAACTCATTGCATTGTTGGTGCAACAATAGGATTCTCACTTGTTGCAATTGGCACAAAAGGTGTGCAGTGGATGGAGCTGGTCAAGATTGGTAATTGCCATTTTCTTTTACCTATAAGAAGGAAAATGTACATTCTCTAGAGTAAGTTTTATTAAAAATTGCCATTATAATATAGTTTTCCTTCCAATGTTAAGATTTAGAAGACCTATGTGGGTAACATATTTTTCCTTAAAATTTCTGTTAACAGATATTGTGAACTGTTAATGTGTTAGAGAATTTTACCTCTAAACACTCTTTTAAATGTTACATTGTTATCCAGCTTCGAAAAAAATCAATATTTACCTGTTGTTCCCAGACAGAAAAGAAATTTATCTCATTGAAACCAGTCTGTATTCAGAGAAAAACTAGGTCCCACCGAGGAAAATACCTTTAGTGTCTAGGAGTCAGAGTTCCCGTCATAGGGAAACCTTGAAGTGAGCCCAGTTTTATCTATCTCATTGCATTTAAGCGATCAACCAGTCTGCCCTGAATAGAGGAGGTATGCTAGTGTTCTTTCTGGCTGTATGCTGCCTGCAGGGACTGTTTTAAGAAGTCTGGCAACTTGTTTCCTGGCCATGGCTTTAGTGAGAGGGAAATCCATTCAGCCCCATAAGTACCAACCTGCCCATTGTAAAAAAATGTTGTCTCACCCATCTCCATCCTCTGGGTTGCTTGTCCTTTTAAGAATCACAGTGACCTCAGCAGCTCTAGGTGAAATGGATCCCCGACCTGCCAGGCTGGGACTCAGATGGCCAGGAGAACTGCTTTAGGTCCCAGGCTGCTAGAACCATGGTTCTCAACTTTGCACATTAGAATTACCTGGGGGAACAATTTAAAAATATCAATGCCCAAGCCCCGTTCTAAACCTTTTAAATCAGAATTCTGGGGGTGGAGCCAGAGCATAGCTAATTTTGAAAACTCCCCAGATGTTTCCAATGTGCAGCCAGAGTTAGAAACTACTAGGCTAGAGGCTAAAAGTGTCAGGATGGCAGTACCAGGCTAGACTTGGAAATGAAATGGAATGTGGCCCACCTTTTAGATCACCCTTATGTCGGGACAGGGGCCAGGTCTCCATATGGATTGGTAAGAAGAGTAGGCAGAAGGGGCTCTGTGGGAATCGATTCCATCTTCTGTGTCCAGAGCCCAGCATCACCTACTTGATTGTGTGCTTGGTTCTGTGGGCTCGTGCGAGAGTGCCCGGCGGCTCTGCCAGGGCAGGGGGCTTGTCAGGCTCTGAGTTAAGATGAGTGAGTCCAGGAATATTTACAAATATGTGTACTGTAAATTTTTATCAGTGTACTATACAAATACAACTTGAATTATGTAGAGTTTCAGCATTCATACTTTTTTTTTTTTAATTATTCAGTTGCTTCTTGGTTTATATCTCCACTGTTGTCTGGTTTCATGTCTGGCGTGCTGTTTGTACTGATCAGAATTTTCATCTTAAAAAAGGTAAGTGAGACAGTTTAATTTTAAATTAAATTTTAGAACTAATTTTGGTTCTATTCAATAGAAATTAATCGTGAGAGGGGTCAGAGGAATAATTGTATTTTTAAATTTTTAAAGCACAGCACCCTGGAGTTCGAATCAGGCTTTCTATAAAGTAGAGGAAAGATTCAAGGTAGATCGCCCAGGGGATTCCCTGGAACCCCGCATTGTAAATCCTGTTTCTCGCCCTATGATTTTCATTACTCGACATTCCCAGGCATTGTGCTTGGACCTCAAGAAGGTCCTGAATGTTAAACAGCACAGAGGGACGCAGTGTTAGATTTTGAAATTGACTGTTACTGAAAGCAGCTGGAGTATTCCTTTACCCAAATATAAGGTGTTTTCTTTCTCTCTCTCTCTCTCTGAAAGCAAGCTTGAGACACTGCCTTTTCCTATCCTCAAAAGGATAACAGGAAGGAAATATACCTCTTGGGGGTATAGTTTATCAAAAATAAAGTGAGATTAAAATGAAAACGTACTGGCATGAGTGTTCTGGAAGAAATTGGTTGCATTTTTATGTGACTGTCCAGGGGCTGTGTGGTGTTCTCTCCGCCCTCAGCAGGCCTGGATTGTGTGTCCCAGCGCACGCTGCGCACCTCGGGAGCGTGCCTTCCTGCAGCTGTATCCTTCCTTAGAGGTGCAGCTGTGTTGTCTTGCATTGCCTGGGAGTCCACTGAAGGACTCATTCTCTTGGATAAGTACCAACTTACCGTTGCTTTTCCTGGGCTCCCACCATACTTATATTTGTTTACATCTTGGAAGGTGCCACCTTCCCCACCTTGCCTGCTGGCTTCCACCCCTGTTATGTCCTCTGTCTGGAACACTTCCTTTCTTGGCAGACTCTTGCTCCTCCTCCACCTTCAGGTGTCACTTCCCAGGAAGCCTTTTCTCTCCCACCCCAAATTCTGGTTGGTTCCTCCCTTTCATACCCACAGCACTGTGTACCTGCCCACCACTGCATTCTCGTATTGTATGATGTTTTATTTTTTACTTAGTGGTCTGTTTGCTACTTTACTGTAAGATCTGTGAGAGGAGAAACTATAACTGTCTTGTTCACTCTTTATTTCAGTGCCCGGCACTCTGCTTGGCACCTCAAAGACATGATTGAATGTTAAGAGGAAATGATGGATGATTGGGTAGGTGGTCACCGATGGATGGATGGAAGGAAGAAAGGAAGGAGACGGGGAGGGAGGGAAGAAGAGAGGCAGGAAGGAGAAAAGGAGACAGGTTGTCATTTGAGTTATAAGAATAGATTATTTGAGAAAATATAAGGTGATTTAATTAAAAACATAAACTCAAAACTTATACACTTTTAGAAGTGATTGGTTGGGAATCTTTCTTCAGTGGCCATGTTCCCCAAGAAAACAACATTTTGAAAACCAGAGGCTGTGGGTATTTGAGCATCCAGTGTTTGTTTTCAGTTCAGCCAGGGTTCTTTTCACGGGGGACAGGACAGCTTGGAAGACTGCGGTGCCTCTCATCCCATCCCCTGCCCATTGGTTCCTCACACTTGCTGTCCTTTACCTCCCCTACCTGTCCGGCTGTGACTCTCCTGTAGCCGGATCACTTCCTGCCCCTGCTCTTACTGCTCCTTCCACCTCGCTGCTATTCAACTGCAGCCTCTTGACAAGTGCTGATGACTGCTTGATATATTCTACAATGGGTCCTTTTTTAAAATTTATTGATTTTTTTTTTTTTTTAATCCTCACCCGAGGGTATTTTTCCATTTTTTGTACAGATAGAATGGGAGGGAGAGAGAGGAAGGGAGAGAGAGAGAGAAACATCGATGTGAAGGGACACATCGAGTGGCTGCCACCCGCACGACCAACCAGGGCCGGGGACAAACTGCAACCGAAGTACGTGCCCTTAGAGGGAACCGAACCCGGGTCTCTCCGGACCGCAGGCCTACACTCTAACCGCTGAGCCAAACTGGCCAGGGCAAAATTTATTGATTTTTTTTTAGAGAGAGAGAGAGAAACATTGATGTGTTGTTCCACTTATTTATGCATTCATTGGTTGCATCTTGTATGTGCCTTGACTGGAGATCGAACCCACAACCTTGGTGTATTGGGATGATGCTCTAACCAACTGAACTACCCGACCAGGGCCCCAGAATAGGTTCTTGATGAGTTGTACTGTTCTGTAAACCTACCTGACTAACATACATGTTTAATCTTACATGGTTATTGAAAATTAGTCATTTAAAAAATTTTTTTTAGGCAACATCCATGTGCCACTACTGCATTGAGGAGTTTTCAGTTCATATTTTTGTTTCAGAATCCTGTGTAGTAAATGGTGATGGAAAAACTTGAATTAAATTGAACATAAATAAATAAATCCTCTGTAGATCTTCTTACAACTCTAAATTTCTAATATTCTCTGAGATATTATTTAGCCTAGAATATGTGTACTACTTTTCTTGTTGAAGTAGTAGATTTAGGGAATGTTGTGCCAGAACCCTAAAGTTGTAAATAAATGTTTTATTAGATAAAGAACCCACAGTTTTTTAACTTTTAATAATTGAAGCTTAAGCACTATACCTTATGGGAAGTTTTGTAAAATCACAGCACATGGTAATGTGTTTGCTTTATATATTTTGATAGAGCTAAACTGTATTGTGTAGTAGAGTGACATAAAATCTATAGTAACGTACTGCTGTTCGAATCATTTGACTCTCTTCGGGCATCCTCAGGGGGTTGAGTCTCAGAATACTTGTTGTCAGTAGGTTTTTTAGGACCAAACTTGAACTTAGCTAGAGTAGTGAGTACCACAGATGTCGAAGTAGATGGCAATCTCTGGGTTTCAGTCCCCAGAAACTGACTTAACCTCACAGTTTTTCTGTTTCTAAACCTGACATCAGCTCATGTGATTCTAGTGCTGTAAACTGTCTGCTGGGCACAATCGTGGGCTCTGTGAAGTAGCACTGGTGTAGGAGAGATGGCTTAAGCTGGTGCTGTTGCTGTGAAGCCGGTCATACGGCAGCAACAGGGCCAGCTATTTTGGCCACGCTGATGCTTGGGAAGACTTGCTTGTAACAGTGTTGTATGTCGTGTTGCCTCCAGATGCTTCTTGAATCCTGACCTTTCACTTTATCTCTTTATCACGTAGGAGGACCCTGTGCCCAATGGCCTCCGAGCACTTCCAGTGTTCTATGCTGCTACAATAGCAATAAATGTGTTTTCCATCATGTACACAGGAGCACCAGGTAAGGACTCCTTGGAAGCTTACACCCAGCAGGCAAGGTGTGATACCATCTGATGGTTGGTTTACTGGGCGCTGGCACTGTTGTAGGCTGTCAGTGGAAAGTATTACTTGTGGTCATTATGGAGTCACACAAGGAGTGATAAGTGCATTTGCTAGTTTTAAATACTCAAGAGATAAGTGAAGTACAAAGGCAACAGACTTTCAAGTTTAGAGAAAGAAAGTTGAAATTCCCGGGCTGCCATTTACCCAGCGCTGTTGCCTTAGTGGCTTCCTTGCACCTTCTGAGTCTGAGAACATGATCTGAGTCCTCGCGCCTCCCTGAGCTGGGGAGGGGTGGGAGCACCTGTGAGCAGGACAGTCCACACACCGGTGACACGCTTCGATGTGGCTTGGAGCACAAAATCAAACTCCCTGGAAACTGTCAGTCCTATGAATCGCACTACACTGTTTTTTCTCCCCAGATACTAAAACCAGTGGTGATTTTCTTTTCAGAATCACTCCCATTTCTTCTCATTCTGATGGCTTTTGTTCTTCTTTACAGAGGTTTGGGGGTTGGGGAGCACGGTTAAAAGTTCTGTTCTTTTCCATTTTCAAGGGGTAAAGAAAAATGCCCTCTTCCAAAATGGGGGCGGGGGAAGGAATCCTTATGAATTTCTCAGACTAGGCTTTCTTAATGGTCGTTTTGTCCAGATTTTTTTTTTTTTAATCCTCACTCGAGGACATTTTTTTCATTTTTTGTTCAGATAGAATGGGGAGGGAGAGAGAGTGAGAGGGAGAGAGAGGAAGAGAGAGAGAGAAACATCGATGTGAAAGGGACACATCGAGTGGCTGCCACCCACACGACCAACCAGGGCCGGGGACAAACTGCAACCGAGGTACATGCCCTTAGCGGGAACCGAACCCGGGTCTCTCCGGTCTGCAGGCTGACGCTCCAACCACTGAGCCAAACGGGCCAGGGCAGTTTTGTCCGGATTTAAATAGCCATCTGTAATTATATGTTGTGCACTTCAGTACTGTAATAAAATCTTTCTGAATGATTCTTAATATTATATGGCTACTGTGGCATCTCCGCAGCATTCTGCACATTGATCTTAAAGGTTTGAATATTTGTGATCAGGACACAGACTTTGGATGACAGCCCGGCTATAAGGCATCACAGCTGCTTTAAGTTAATGAAACGCCCAAAGCTGAAGGTCATGGTGGTTGGAGGGATGAAACCCTAGCCTCAGATAACAGCGGCCTGAGAACCTTCGGGTTTTGTAATTCATGGACTAAGAAGTGTGTTTGGCAGACAGTTTTCATGATCTATAAAAAAGAATTAGAGGCAGAGAAAAAGCAGTGCTGGGCAGGCCCTTGAGCCCCAGGTCAGGCGTGAACTGTGGCAGAGAGATTCTTTGTCCATCTTCTTGCTTGTGAGTCCTTGTTCTTAATTTTGTTTAGGCTCTTAGAGCTCAAGTTAGCTGAACCAAAAGCTAAGCAACCATCAATAGCCAGACACCTGTGGCTTAGTGATTGAAGACACTGAGCCAATGGAGACTGTGGATGTCTTTATAGTGCCAAGTCCTAGAAATGAGAATTGGTACAAATAAGGACAATTTATTTTATGTTTGTGCATTTTTTTTTTCTACCCTCTCTCCTTCTTGCTCCCAGGTTCTTCTTCCAAATGTCAAAATCCAACTGTGTAATTTTTTTTTTAATTAAAATTTGACTTTTTCTATACTTGGTATATTTTTTCCATCGCTTCTTTCTTCCTCACCTTTTGCTATACTTTTATTGCATATTTGCTAAAAGAATCATCTTACTGGGAGAGTAAATTATTCTAGAGAAAATTAAACTATATAATGGATGAGACACTAAGGATTATATAAATACTTCATAGAGAAGTTGTGAGAAATAAATAATAAAAATGCTAACTTATATCGAACTGAGTTTTACATGAATTAATCCTTTTAGTCATCTGAATTCCTTTAGGAAATTGGTAATGTTGCTTTGCTGGCTCCACTTTACAGATGGGAAACTGAGGCATAACAATACTGGGTACTCAAGGTCATATAACTGTAAGGTGCAGAACCAGAATTTGAATCAGTCTATTCCTGAGCCACAGGCTTTTAATTATGACATTCATAGACCAAGTTTAGAAGTCAAATTGTATCCCTTGCCGGTTTGGCTTAGCGATAGGAGCATTGGCTTGCAGACCAAAGAGTGGCGGGTTCGATTCCCAGTCAGGGGCATGTACCTTGGTTGCAGGTTTGATTCCTGGCCCTGTTGGAGTCGTGAGGGAAGCAACCAATCGATGCCTCTCTCTCTCACGTTGATGTTTCTCTCTTTCTCCCTCCTCCCCTCCCACTCTACCTAAAAATCAGTGGGAAAATATCCTGTGAGGATTAAAAAAGAAAAGTCAAATTTTAATTTAAAACATCACATACTTGACTTCTGATATTTGTAACTGTCATGGGTAGGATACCTAGTATTCTGGTACCTACTGTTACCATTAAGGATGATCAAAATACATCAGCTTTAATACATTTTTTCCCTTCTCATTGCTCTCTTTAAAAATGGCTTCCATGCCTGGCTGGTGTGGCTCAGTGGACTGAGCGAAGTCTCATGGACTGAGAGGTCCTGGTTTCATTCCAGGTCAGGACACATGCCCAGGTCGCAGGCTCGATCCCCAGTAGGGGGCGTGCGAGAGGCAGCTGATCAATGTTTCTCTCTCACATTGATGTTTCTGTCTCTCTCTCCCTTCCTCTCTCTCTAAAATTTTAATAAAAACATATTTTTTAAAAAATGGCTTCTAGTATATTTGGAAACCTGACTGTATGTTTTTGTATATATTTAATATACAGGTAGTATGAAGCAGGTGATTACCTCTTTAGAAATATTTTTAAAAATCTGTACAGGAATCCTGAAGAGTGTTATTCCATTGCAAGCAAAGAATATTCACAGTGCTAGAGTTAATGTTAGGTACTTTGGGTCAAGAACTTCTGTTTCCTTGCCTCCCTGTCATCGTCATAAAGTAAGGGCAGCTTTCGGACCACCAGGAAAAGGACGCTGTGTTAATGACATAATGCAGGCAGGACACTTAGTACAGTACCTGGTACATAATAGCTCTTTAAAAAAAAAAAAAAAAAAAAACCACCATTTTTTCTTTATTGATTTTAGAGAGAGAAGAAAGGAGAGAGAGAGAGAGAGATTGAAACATCAATGAGAGAAAACATCGATTGGCCGCCTCCTGCGTGCCCCACACTGGGGATCAGTCCTGGGCATGCGTCCTGATTGGGAATCGAACCGGTGACCTCTTGGGGCATGGGTCAACGCTCAACCAGTAAGCTACACTGGCCAGGCCATAATAGCTCTTGATACATGTCAGGGGCTGTTTTATTACCATCAATCTTAAGTAGCCTCATCTTTTTGGCCTTAAGTTGCCAGCATATCCTGGGTCATCCTATCTTTCTATTTTTTCCACACTTATTGGCATAGCATATTTCCTTCTTGAAATTTTCTGTGGGGCTTGCCTAGAGGAGAAGGAAGAGGAGGTCATGACTGAACGACCCACCAGTTTTGTTCCTCCACTAAGTCAGAAAAGGACTTTGCAAATATTTTGGTTTTGGGGAATGTTTCTAGAATCTCCTATAGGTGAGTTAAATCTTATTTTTATTTAAACATTGAAGGTTGACTCATGCCCTTCAAAGTAGACCTGAATTACATACTATTTCCTCACGTGGGGCCTCTCTGCCTGTCCGGAATCATCATAAATAGCTGTGGTGACAAGGCTGAGCTGAGAAGAGTCACTTCAGCAGTGACTCTTGGTCAGTCTGCTGTTTGCAGAATAGAATGTCTGCCTTTCTGCCAGTTGGGTTTATTCCTTCTAGGTCCCTTTCTTCCTTAGAATGTTTCATTCAGCGCATGGGGACCTGAGATAAAAGAAAAGAAGGAAGTTCTCTAACAAAAATGAGTCTGGGCATTAATCTTACGCAGTTTCAACTTGGAGATTTTGATGAATAGCATTTTTATGCATGGAGATGAATTCAGCAGGTATCCAGTGGACGTTGAGTTTGTGTTTTATTTTGACTTCCTCTGTTCCTCCACTCTGAGTTATTTGGAAGTTGTTTATATCTTTGGCTTAGTTTGATTTGTTTTACTTTGCATTTGACATGACTTTTCTCAAATAAAAGTCAATCTCATACTTCAAAGACTGAGGTAGCACTTTAAAATATTGTCCTTTAAAAAATAAATTGCAAGAAGCAAAAATAACTAGGAAATAAAGTGCTCACTTGGGTTGGATGCAGGCCTGAAGTCTATTTTTAATGAGAAAGTCTTCAGTTGTGTGAGGCCTGGTTTTTGTTCAGCGTCTGAAAAATGAATGGTGAGATTCACTGCATACCTCTTTGAGTAGGCCGAGCAAATCTCCTCACTAAGCCTCAAGTAGTTACGTATAAACTTCTAAGTCAAAGTGTGGTCTCTAGACCAGCAGCATCAGCTTCTCATGGTAACTTGTCAAGATGCAGATTCTCAGGCCCAACCCGAGAGCCCCTGCAGCCGCCAGTTTGTGTTGCACCAGACAGAGTGATTCTGATACGTGGTGCAGGTGGAGAAGCGCGGCTCTAGCGACTTCTTTCCCCAGCCTTTCACCGCAACTCTGCTGTCTCATCACGGCTGTGTCAGAGGCGCTGTGCACGCGTTCTCACCAGCAGCGTTCGCTCACTCTTTGTTTTTACCAGCAAGTGAGTTCTCAAACTTAACCAGGCTTGGTTTCTGGCTTCTTGAGAAGAGACTGTACCTAAGACAGAGCTGACACTCTCTCTTCCTCTTCCTCCTCCTCCTCCTCCTCCTCTTCCTTTTCCATCCTCCTCCTCCTCTTTCTCTTCCTTCTCCTCCTGTTCCTCCTCCTCCTGTTCCTTCTCCTCCAGTTCCTCCTCCTCTTCTTTCTCTTCCTTCTCCTCCTGTTCCTTCTCTTCCAGTTCCTCCTCCTCTTCTTTCTCTTCCTCCTCCTCCTCTTCCTCC